ATGTAGACATTCCTTATAATAATTAATAATAAAAAAAAATTTTATGAACAAATTTTCTATTGTAAATTTTGACTGTATGTAGAAAAATGGCGCACCGATAATGGCTAAAACTGCCAAGTTATTACTGTTAAATATGTGTGTTAAATCATTGTGAGTTCTGAATAGTCTATGGACGAAAACCGTATTTTCTAATTAAAAATATGTAGATAGGAAACAATATTTTAAATAATATATTGAAGACTTTGGTATTTACCTGAACTTCACATTCTCTAAACGCAATACTGTTATCATAACTTTTGACTTTTCTTCCTGTGTCGTTTAAAATATGCATTAAATGCTAAGCTCAACAGCAGTTTAGTGCGAAAAATTTTTCACCACCGCATAAAACTCATTTCCGGTTGCATTCATTAACTATTTTCGAGACCTACATAAATTAGGTAATCCGAATTGCGTTACCTGGCTTTGTGACACAAATGCGGCAGTTACATACATACATAAATACCTTAGTGCTTAGCATTCTTCAAAACAACAGAATTCTATTTCCAAACGTGCATTAGAATAGTTTCTGCAGATTTGCTACACAATTCGTAAGTTAAAAAATAAATAAAAAATGCGGGCAGTTGGCAGAGAGTAAAAAGTGTCACCGGAAATATGTTGCGTTGATAACATGACAGAAACAGCAGCAAGAGCAGAGTGTCAAATAACAAAGGCAAGAGCAAGAATCTTAAAAAATCGTTCACATAAATATATAGAAACGTCAGAGAGCGTCCGTCCAAAGCACCGCACTTACGAAGTGCATACACTTTCGTCAATACATTTACAAGGGCATTTACTCGCACTTCACAAATATGTATGTATGTAGATAAAAAATTTAGTTTAAGCAGGGTCGATTTATGACTCCGCAATCAGTTGATAAAGCATACTCTGAAGATATACAATAAGAATAATTTCGAATACCACTCAATTCGGGTTCCGATTGACTCGATGTTATTGGTTTGATTTTAAGTTTGAGGAGCCAAAATGATCATCGTATAAGGGAAATCCGATCTAAGATCTTTTGGTAATGAAAAATATACATACATATATTGTAAACAAGGCTAATCTCGGGCTAAGAGAAGTTAAAGGATACATTCAGATGCTGCTTGTGTGATTGTACATTTCAACCGATTGATCGAAATGATTATTTAGTTTTGAGTTATTGTTGAGATTTGTCAATAAAAACTTCGTCTTCTTTATTAGCGTAGACACCGCTTAACCACATAAAGCCGAGTTTACAACAGCGCGACTTCTTTTCCCTGCTTGGCGCCAATTGTAGATTCCAAGTGTAGTCTTTCAACGGAGTGAAAATCTTTTTCTTTCTCTGCTTAACACGGTGGGTACTTCGTCGAATATTCTCAGAGCTGGAGTGTTGTCATCCATTTGGACGACACGGCCTTGCCAGCGTAACTGCTGTCTATTAATTCGCTGAACTATGTCAATGTCCTCATATATCTTGTACAGCTCATCGTTCCATCTAAATATAGAAACATAAATATTCCGCAGAACCTTTATTTCGAAAACTCGTACCGCTTCGTCTCATTGTTTTTTTTTACGCGGCGGGTCCAAAACTCAGCGCTCAACAATGGTGAAAGGTTAGGATATTAATATAACAACTATCGATCACTAAATTATCTGATCGGATAATCGCTGGTAAATGAAAACTTATATTGCTTAGAATTGCAATTACTCATTTGATATCGTTAAATCAAAAACAAATTGTGAATGGACTGTGAAACCGTAATTAACTGGATTGAAGAAATAGATAAAACTATTTATCTCAAGGTGATCGAATTGTTTTTTTTATCATCGTATACTATTTTCAGACATTTTTGTTTAATTGGATACAGTTTTTTTAGTATCGGAAAAACATCAACGAAACAAGCAAATCTTGCCTACCAGGAACACTGGCAATGTACCAGGAGAACTGGTATGTACATATATGTATACCTTTGTGTGTGTACATGTCTAAAGTGGTAAGGCGTTTCGCGTTTTTATCACTGCCCAGACAACCTTGCAGCTAAGCCCAGAACAGGCAGACCAAGCCAAGTTTGAAGAGATGCTTGTGACGGACCGACAGTTCTTATTTGCGTATGTTTGAAGATATAACGAGGTAACGGTATGCATGAATAGCTGTGTATTTATATATGTGTGTATCACGCACACTACTGAAATTGTATGCGCATGCACACAAGTACATCACTCCACTTGAACGCTGTAAATACATACAAGGCGAGAGGGCGTGTGTCAGCGCGAGCAAAATGCCACTTGGCCGAGATTAAAAATTAACAAACCCGGCAGCAGCAGCAACGAATGAGTGCATACAAACGACGTTATATACATACATGCGTACAAAAGTGTAAGTACTAATAGCACAAGGAGAAGGACGCAACATTTCCCTGTGTCGGAGAGTATAAAGGAAATGCTGTAAAAGAGCAACGATACAAAGCACAAAGATCAGGGTGAATACTGGCATGACAGCTTACACAATAGACGTGAGAGTACGAGATTTAAACCTTAAAAAAAGTTCCAGCGTTGCAATGTATGGCTAGAATGGTGTAATACTAACACTACGGAGTTAAGGTAAAAACTAACCAAGAAAGTCATGGTATCTTCGACCATTAACCCTGTTTTTAAATATCACTCCAAACTTTATGTATGTTAATATTTATATCAGAATAATTTATGAAAAATTAATTTCATAGCAGTTAGTTTTTAATTGGGGTACTCACACCTTGTCATAAAGCATCATAAAGTCGTAAAATTATAAATTTTTACACTTGTTTAAAAAAAATATTGTTGGATTACATATAAAAATGAATTTACACAATTACAATTTTCAAAGCTATGTTTTCGAATCGTTATAACTTATAACTTTATGAGACTATATGAAACCCCGAAATATTTTGTTATCCCGAATATTATGTTTCCAAAAACTTCCAGATCGGAAAACTTTTATTTCGCTTTGCGTCCTTAGTGAATTGAATACGTCTGGATCGAGTTTGAAGTTCCAACTGATATTTCGGAATGAGAAAAAAAATTATTTCGATTGTATTTTTCGTAAATACTTGACTGAATCGACACAGCTACATGAATTCTACTTAACAATACGCCACTCTTGTGTTTTACAGTCAAGACGTGCGCTCATTTATCAGTTATTACCACGAAATATACATACATATGTATATGTATATCTGTATGTATATACTGTTTTATTGGTCTAAAAATAGCATACAAATGCAGCTGTGGCAGAAGAAGGAAATTCAGTCAATACCAAAGGCAAACAGAGACGTCAACAGATAACGAACTTTAACACATGTACAACAACTGATTTGTATATATTTATATACTATTTATATACATACATATAAATGTTTGTACATATGTATATACATATAGCCATATGTTTATGGCTGCTTGTGAATTCTTTTTTCAACACATGTTGTAGGACTAATGCCTGCAAGCAAATATCCCTGTATTCTGTCATTCTACCACGGTTTTCATTGCCCAATCGATTTTCCTTAGAGGCATTTGAAGTTCACCAAAAAGACATTTGTAATATGATATTTTCCGCGACTACATACATAATTTTAAATGTTCCACCAAGTTCGGATTGAATTTGTCCTGTAATGGCAGTTGAAAGAGGAAGTATTTGGAAAATTTACTATTTTTAGCCCAAAGCGCAAGTGGAGAGCCAGTTTTGAAGACAGCTAATAGTAAATTTAAAGTCGTAAACACATCTGTAAATCCATAGATGCAAATATATGTTTACTAATAAATTGTATAACATGCTGATATATGTACATATGTATATTATATATTATAATAGTTGTCACATGGGCTTACAGCCATCTCGTGGGAATTTTCTAAACTTCTAGATAAGACTGAAGTTCCGTGGTTCTTGTGGTTTTCTAGACGCAATTGTATGTGAATACTTTCGAATTGCAATTCTTTTTTTTTTTTCAAGTCAATGTAAATTCTTATCACTTGTGGTATGTGAACTGAGAACCAAGAATCTATGGGAAACCATGAACACGGAAATGGTGCAAAAATTTATATACATATATCAATATAAAAATTATATATGTATATATAATATATCAATATAAAAATTATATATGTATATATAATATATCACCCAAAATAGCTTTATTGTTTCTAAAAATATTCTGCCCCTCTGAACTTCCTCTTCGCACCGGAATGAAAAAAATTCATTTATTGCGGAGTCAGGACTTTACGGTGGATGACTCGTTAAATCGATGTTTGAGTATATGTATGAAAGCTAGCATTGTCATTGAAAGGCAACTGGAAAAACAATGGTTGTGTTACTGTTATGAGTTTTCCTAGTGGTATGGTTTCGACATGTTCAGATTTTCGATGAGAAGAGCCATTGCTTGGAAGTGCTTCGTGCGCAAAAAGCTTTTGCTGTATGTAGCTTATTTTGAAACATCCATTCAGTCGGCTACCACTTACTTTCGGATTCATACGCGTAAATCCACGATTCATCGCCTTTCACGACGTTATAAACATTTTTCGAAGCATTGTTATCGTATTTTTTAACATTTGTCTCGACCCATCGACGCGAGCATTTTTATGATCAGTCGATAAATTGTTTGCAGAGCTGAATATTTTAAGTTACTGTAAACAACACAAATAGCGCTCGCTATTATGTATAGCATCACAAAAGTCGAACCTTACGATAAAGTTGTGAGTTGCTAGCTTCCAACGGTAGGGGTCTCCAATCTCGTAATATATATTGGTTGCTTTTCCTACCGCTGAGTGCGATTTCAATGCACAGGATTCCTTCTTCGACACGTAAACTACTTATACATATGTATATATTTTATGGATACATATTACGTAATTTAAGTGGACTTTCCAAAAATGAAATTTCTAATATTTTCCCCCTTTCTTCTTCTTCTTTTATTCCACTTTTCTCCCACATTTTCTTCACATGTTTGCAGAGGCGGTTCGCACGCAGCTGAACAGGCGGCCATTGGCCTTAATTTGAGCGCATTCTCGCAGCACTTAAATAATAATAACAACAACAAATCAACACTGAAACTCAACGCATTGCACTCGTCTTTCAACGAGAGTGCACTAAATTTGTCGAAATGCGCACCAGGCCTGAATATGAGCCACGAAGACTACTATTACTATGTGAAATCGGAAATGGATCTGTCAGCAGCGCATGCGGGTAGCAACGGCATTGGTGGTGGTGGCAATGCAGCTGTGCCCATACATCCACTGCCGGCGCATCAAACACAGCAGCAGCAACAACAATTACACAGCGCTGCGCATGACAGCCGCGTTTCGTCCACGCGCAATGACAGCACCACGCAGCACAGCAACACTTTCGACGATCTTGATGCATCATCGGTACGCAGCGGCGACGAAGCCTCCATGCGTAATGTGGACATAAGCAATCAGGGTTCCGACGAGGTGGAGGAGCTGGAAGCCATAGATGCCGATTTTCCCTATCCCCTCATACTCGACGCCAATTCCCCGCCTTCCATGAGCGCAGCAGGCGGCAATGGCAACATTGGTGGCAATGCTGTTGGTGGCAGTAGCGCTTTGAAACGTAAACGACGTGACCTCAACAATGACGGCATGGACGATGGTGCTGCGGATGACGAGGATGACTACGAGGGCCAGATGATGCAACAGCATCGTCATTTGCGCCAACAAAATGGCGGTATGGGAGGCGGTAGTGGCGGTGGCATGAATGGCTGTATGCTGGATATGCCGCCGCCGCAGACGGTGCGTGAGGTGTTGAACTCCAAATTTTGCGGCTTCATTTCGGCGAAACTCAATAGCATGGAAGACACGGAGGCGGATAATTTAATGAACAAAATACTCATGTTGCTGGTGCAGACGCAAACGAGCGAAGCCAAATAGGCGCTGGACTGTGATACAAGTATTGGGTAGCAGCGTGTAGCAAATATGATACCAACTGCTTACCATAAATGTATGTGTGCGTGAGTATGCAGTTACTTTCACGGGAAACGTGGTGTCAGACATTTCAATAAGATATTTTCAAACAAATTTTGAAATTATTCAAAAGCCATATTTTTTAGTTTTATATATAAAAGTTAGCTCTCACATATTATATATTCTACTTTGCAGGATGTGGTTTTTTGTAAAAATGTTGTATATTATTTACTAATGCTTCTAGTTTTAAGTTTATCCCGTTACTAGCACATTAGCTCTCTAATTAAATGATCAAAATGAAGAAATTAAAAGCGATCTACATGCCTAACTTCGTCAGTGGGTTGAAATAAAATTCGCTCAAAATGAAATTTTTGCTTATTATTTTATTCAAATATAAACCATATTAAATAATAATATTATGCTTAAGTTTATTATAATTTGTTCGAAACACCAAAGCATTTTCAAAGTTATATCAAAATTTTAGTTAAATGACTGAATAAATAAAAGATTAAATTTTCAGTTTTTCTCTTTATTATTTATTTATATTGAGAGAAATAGGAATATTTTATTATTTTTTATTATTTTACTTCTATTTTGATTGCGGTTTGATTACTAATTTTCAAAATCTACCTGTCAAAGGGTAATTGACAAAGAAATAAATTTCGATTTTCAAACACTTTTGTATACATCATCGACTTCAATAAGAGCTTTACTGTAAAAATGTGGTTCATTCGTTCCTTTATACGATTTACTATTGTTCTACTGTTCAAGTTTATATGCTCTCGAAATTTAAATTAGAAGCTCTGGTTAAAAACAAACAAGTCGAAAAATAAAACAAAATAGCAGAGTTCATAAATTATTTATTATTAAATAAAGCAATTATTGGAAGAAGCGATCAAAAATATAATTTTAAATTAAAACTGTATCTGAATTTCAGTTCTTATTCTAGATATTTTAAAACTCAATGTCACACAAGTTGTTTTCTTAAAATGATTGTAACTTTTCATATTGAAACAATAATTATTATCAGATAGTTACTCATCGTTCATTTAAAGATTCTAATATAATTTTCTTCGACTCATTTAAATTTCGATTTCGCTAATTTTTCGTCTTTCAATTGGTAATATTTTTTTTTTAATTCATGGGCGAAGTAGCGGACGTAGAACAATTATAGAAAAAATTATTTATGAAAAATAAGAAAATGTGTAATTTTAATAATATGACGTTTAGGTAAACATTTATGTTAATTATTTTTTTTGGAATAAGTTATTAAAGCTGAAGCGTTTATTTTTGTCAAAAATTTATTACCATAATAAATGTGTGTAAATATTTTTGCAATTAACGAAATTGCAAGTTATACAAGTTTAAATATTTGTATAATTAAGAGAATTACCAAAAAGAAAATTTAAAATCATTTTTTAACTCCTCTATTAATAAAAATTCCTACATATTCCTATATGAAAAGTTATATAATTTACAAAAGTAAAATATTAAAGTAAAAAGTAAATAAAACAAAATTATTAAAATATACTATATAAATATGTCGTTTCATAATTATAAGTTCCATTAAAGAATGTTATGAAACAAAGCTATCTATCAAAGCTATAATGTTTATCACATCTTAACACAATAAGATGCTCCAAATATCAACTAAGTGTTTGAAAAGTTGAAAAGTTTAAAGTATTAGTTATAATACTTAATTTTGTAATTAAAAAATAAAAATCCTGTTAATATTGCGGTTGTATTGAGCTTGCCATATATAATATTTACATAGTTTATTTATAAAAAAATCGTACACAAATTTATTTTGACTGTACTTTGAAACAGCGCTTGCCCCAAAGAGAGACTTCAAAAAATGTGAACTGCAATTCAATGTTGCACTGTTTTCAACAAAAATTGAGGTTTTGTATGCTCTAATACCAAAAACTTGCCATACCAAATTGAACAACAAAATAAATATGAGGTTAATTAATATGATAATTACTATTTAAAATTTGGAAAATTAAATAACAGTTGTCTAACTTTGAAATTAATTTATTTACATTATAAAGACCTGTAAGAAATCAACTCAGCTCTTCTACTCCAAATACTAACTGTTAAAATTGGCTTGAGTTAGGAGTGTCACGACATAATTAAAACCAATCTTAATATATTTTTCAACTTTGTCATTGATTCCGAAAGGAAAAAAAATCCGTAAGACAACGAAATGAAAATTGTTAATGTCCACTATCGATCCTTAGACATGAAAATATGTATTATATAAGCTATTAAGACATTAAAAATTATAAACAAATGCCAAGTTAATTGCCATAACTATTCTGGAAAAAGGACATATCACTACAATTAAAATATATTTTTTAAAATACCTTATTAAGATAAAATAAAAGTTGAAATATTTTCTTTTCTAAGTTTTGTATGTTGAACAACTTTACGTATAATATGTTATGTAATTAGTGTATAATCCCAGTAATCAAAAGTTGATAGCTACTCATACATATATGTGAAACTATTATTATATAATATATTAATTATTATAAATTTTATATATCTAAAAAGTGCTGTTTCTATATCTGGTGAATGTGAATATGCCACATGCGCTTTTCAACTCACTTCAGTTAAAAGTTTACAATCTGATCTAACAACAGCTCAAGCCAAAAATGGAAAAGTTGAGTTAATACAGTTTTACAACTTTTTGATGAATAAATAAATACTCTAATCCTAAATCGCATATTGTTGTTAAACATAGTCTTCTTGTCGTCTTTGACTATGTGACTGCTTATGAGACTGCAAATTGAAAAGTCACTCAGTTACCACTAACACTTTTCTGAATTGGTACTTCGGAATGTTCCGTTATTCGAACTATTACGAACTCCATTTTCGTATATCTGCAAATCAGTTTTGAGTTTAAATCAAAATTCATTCATCGGTTTGATATTCACTGTTTTATATACATTAACTAAAATGTATTATTTTCATTTTCGAGTCAAAATAATGCAATAAAATACCGGACAATTACAACTTTTACTAAAATTGAATGAAGCTAAAAATTATAGTAATAATTTATTTCAACTTTAATAAAATTTATTTGGGTGATGAATTGTAATAGAGATAAAAAACTATGAAAACTGTTATGTTAAAATAATTTGACTAAAAATATATAAGAAAAGGTTTAAGTTATAGCTAGATATATTACAAGATTAAAAAACTTTAGTAATAAATTTTATAAACGTTTGCCAATAACTTTCTTATTTTAGAAATGTTGAAATATAAAATTTATTTACAAATAAAGAGCTGGTAATTATTTTTTTTAACAATCTTTAGTACTGTTCTTAAAGTGTTAGTATTATGAAAGTTTAAATTAATTTCACACTCATTTTATAATGCAAAGAAATCTTAAACAGACGCTGTATTAAGCGGACATCTTCATTAGCCATGACATTGGCCGCTCCTAACATTTTTTGGTGGTTATTAGGGATAATATTTTAGGCGTACAACGATATTAATCGGATTGAAAGGCTGGTCTTGCCAGTGTCCGATTATCTGCGACTTTACGATATTTGTATACAGGTATCGATAGCAAGGCGGCGCCGTGCGCCTATGTTCTAAATCATCTACACAGCTGACCTCCCAGTGATTAATTTTGACACCGCAATTACGCCAACCTATGCAGATGACACTGCAATACTGTTGGCGTAGAACAGTTTTAGTAATAGGAACCGGTAGGCACCAACTTTGCGGACTTGCACGATTCCAAAAAGAATCGGGTATGAAGTGTGATCGAGGTTCCCTACTTAAAAAAAAAAAAGACACAGAAACTTCAAATTTAATTTTGAATATTATTATCATACGGAAGAATATTCTTTGGCATTTATTTATTGGAAATTATCTCTTTGTGTTGGTCGCGGCTACAGCTTAGTATACCATACCCGTTGAGTTCAATTTTCGAAGACGTGTTCGACCATTTCGATTCATAAAGAGATGCGGCTGTAATCTCTACAACGTTAATATACAAATTATAACAACATTCTTCAAACTTTCGATAGAATGTCGGACGATTTCTTTGAATTAGGTCTTCTTCGATCTAAGCACTTGAATTACGGAGTATGCGTACATATGTACATATGTATATTAGAAAATACAAAAATATACTATATCCTATAAGAATAAGAGAAAATGGTAGAATATATCCGTATTTTTATTATTTGCATAAACTGGATCGTGAGACTCTTATAGATCTACAAAACTCTCTGAGCCTGTCACAAATCTGTTGAAACAGCTAATATCAGTCTCGGGAATGGCCTTTGGTTCGCCGAAGGTATGAAACTGCAAAAGCTGGAGAATAGAGAAGAAATGCCTGAATGTTTTCGCCTTACCCTCCTCCATACAACTTCGCCAACTTTGCTCAAGCAGGAGTTCAGTATATCTACTACTCTACTTGGGCCAGATGGACATAGCAGTCGCACAGGAACTGGTCGTCAACCAGGGCTTGCTAAGTAGATTGATTTTGGAGTAACTTGAAGCTTTTTCTTGTGAGGCCGGACCCTCCTTTACTAGCTTTGAACACATAGTGCACACAATGTTTAAAATAAATCCAGTGCTGAGCTTTGAATGCAAATATTTCGATTTGTGAGTCTAGTTTCGAAAAATTAACTTACTTATTATGCAATCTGTGGAAAAAATAGTTTTGGTCTAATTAATTTTTTTATTAAAAATATAATTAAAATGAATTCCATTGAAAATCTGCGAATTTATATAACAAATGCAACATGTTCGTACATATGTATGTATACATATATGAATACGTTCAGTTTAATACACACCTTGAAGGTTCGTTGAACTCTATTGACGAAATGAAAAGGTGCAACGCCTTCAGAACTACTGTCTGAAATATTCAGGATTCACACCTGTGCATCAGCTCTCGAAACCGCAAATTATTGCTGGCCATTGATTTATTGCGTATCCCAACTGCCACTGGCGTTTACCGTAATGAAGAGCGTGACAAAATCTAAATGAAGTAGTCGCCAGATGTGGCACGCAGCAAGCAGGTAGGCCACTCTTCAGCTACTCGCGCGCACACACACAGCCACCAGCGATGGAGATGTTTTCCTAACTAACGCCGGCGCATCAGACAGGCAGACCGAACTGAAGACGGAATGTGTGACGCCTGCGCCAAAAATAGAAAAAGAACCAGGCCTACATACACCAATTTATTTCTTAAATGAAAACAAACAATGTGAACATAATGAATTGTTGTGTACAGATAAGCACCCCAAGGATGTAGGAAATGTTGAAAGAGAGCGAGAAGAATACAGCTGTGCGGCAAATGTGCGCCCTTTGTTTAGCCTTTGGCTGGCAGAAACAAACCACG